ATACATTATAACCCAAACAATTGACTTAGCCGACAACCGGATGAACTTGATGGTTGAACAATTGACCTATTTGGCCAGGTCAATGGGACGTGAGCAAGATATTAATTCTCATGTTTTTTTTTTTTTTATAATTTTTAGTCATTTCCATCATTAATAGCAATAATTCTCATTTTCAGTCATATTTTTGTTAAATATCATAAATATAATGTTAAAGGCATGCTCATTTTTTTTTTAAATTTTATAAAATTTTCTATCTTTTTATTTTTATTTATTTAATTTATAACATCACTATAAGTTGACTTGTTAAATAAATTGGGAACTCTTCCAATTGATTTTTAGAGCATTAGTTCTATAATACTTTTTATTTTTATTAGTGGTTTCCCTGCATTTCTATGTTTTGATAGACTGGATCCGCCTAAACCGTTGAACCGTTGAACCATATTAGACACAATAGTCAATACTTTTATCCCAATGGACATGTTATTGGTTTGGGTTAAGTGGTGATCCAACACTTACCTGATCCAATCCCAATCAAATATTTACTGCCTATTCAATAAAATAAAAGCATTATTTATTCAAATATACTTTAGGCACTTTTGATTATACCATTAAATAGATGTTGGGCAATTATTACAGTTTAATTTCAGTCTTCAAAAAGATTTTATCAGACATTGCCAATAAGATTTGCACTCATTGGCAGTGTTTGTATAAAGTGGGAATGATGTTGCAGAAAGTGTGTAGGAAGAACACTGTCTACTTCAAAAAAGAGTCTAGGATTCACAAGAAGAGAAAAATCTAAACAAATTTGTATTCAGTTCACAAAAATTGATTTTGTACGATGGACTATTTGTAGGCAATTCCCTAAACATTGATAAGGGTGTCAATGCACCGGTTTTGGATTGGACCCCGTCCAGTCCAAAATCAATTTGGATGGACTGGATAGACCAACAAGATATATTGGATTGGACCAATCCAGTCCAAAATATTTATTAGATTGGATTGGACCTGATCTGTCCGTAACAAATTTATATTGGATTGGGTTGGATTAAGCCAATATCTGGTCCATTGATATAAGATAAGAATATATGTGTCAATGGACTGGGTTTGGGTTGAAATCAATCTAAATCAAAATGAATTTGAATATATTGGATGGTCCAGACATTGAATTGGACCGGTCCTAATTGGTCTAAAACATTCATTGGATTGGATTGGACCTGGTCTATTTATAATGGACTCACATTGGACTGGATTCGATCGAACCAAATCCAGTGCACAAGGCTACCATCAATGCGGGGTGTGGGGAGGGATACATGTAGGCAACCTTAAAGCAAAAGTAAACCAGAATTTACACTTGACACATTTGCACTTCCATGCACTTACACCAGTGCAAAAGAAATTTGCACCACAAACAAACTAGATGTGAAGCTTGAAGTTTTTTAGGTATTACGTAACATACATGCTATTTTTTCTTTCTTTTCTTTTCTTTTTTTTTTTTTTTTTGACAAAGCATTCTAGTTTTTTGGTATTACATAAAACGCATTAGGTGAGGATAGAGCAAAAAGCTGATGCACATGGGAGAACCGGAGAAGAGCCTGCTATTATGGGTTGGAGGAAATGCCAAATGACCACATCTGACTAGGGGTGCCAATTGGTCTGGATTAGATCCAATCTGATCCAGTACAATGTGATTCCATTACAAATGGGCCATGTCCAATCCAATCCAATGAATGTTTTGGACTAGTCCAATTTAATATTTGGATCGTCCAATTTGCTCAAATTGATTTTACTTTATTTTGGTTCTAACCCAAATCTGGTCCATTGACACCTATATTGTTTTCTTCTATCAATGGACCAAATATTTGTTCAATCCAACCCAATCCAATGTAAATTTACTATGGATGGATCAGGTCTAATCCAATCCAACCCAATAAACACGTTGGACCATTAAGTCTAGACTGGTCCAATTCAATATGCTTTATTGATCCATCCAATCCATCCAAATTGATTTTTATTTGGGTGGTGCCTAATCCAAAACAGGTCCATTGACACTCTTACCTCTAACTACTGGATCATTGGCTTCATTACTGATGATCCTGGTTAGTCACTAAAGACTTTCATCTATCTCAATTTCATTAGTCCCCCCCCCCCCTCTTTTTTTGACTATTCAAAAACTGATTTAGTTTTGTAATTGGTTAACTAATTATATGATTTATTAGTTCAACTCTTCCGATTAATAAAAGTAATCACAGATTTTCTCCACTGCTTTTGGCTTCTAAACATAAGATGATAGTCTAGGGCTTGCCTAATGCTTTCCATTAAATTATTTGTTTTCCTACAAAAGTTCTTATTCACTGATGACAAAACTTTCAAGTTGCACTGAGAAGTCATCCATGTGCTTGGTGACTTAAGATTTTATATTGGGGGACAAGATATTCATAACCCTTGACTATCGAAGCCTCTCTGAAGTCTGAACTAATAGTCCAACAATGAGTTGCATTTAGTGTGTGCTCGCAAACAATGATGTGGAACTGAGGGAGTGAGGGATACTTTTCAGCCATCTATCTGACCAATCCCCTCCCACGTTTTCTCTGCCTTCAGTTGTTTATTGATTCTCAGGCCCCATTTGATTTGCAGTTGRAATCGGAATCAAAATTCTTCGAAATCGAAATGGTTTATTTCCATAGTTTATTTGGTTCAGACAGGAATATAAATAAGAATTGGAATAAGCAGGAATGTGATTTCATTCTCAAATGAGGGGCAGAGAATGGCCATTCCCTCAAATGGGAGAATGCCATTCYAACAGAAATAAGAATGGAATTCTGATTCTGCCCAATCAAACAATTGAAATCAGAATAGCCCATTCCAATTCCAATTCCAAACCCCATTCTTGTGAACCATACGAGGCCTCAGTTATCTTTCTCATTTCTCATATCCAAACAAATAAGGAGATAAGCTGGTTGTTTGAAAACATGGATTTTTGTGGTTTTAGTGATCGGTGATGATGAGACGTTTTTAGATTATTATTGTTGAAGTAAACAAAGAAAATTCTAATATTAGTAGAAGCAACCAATGAGGATCAAGTCATCCAACTGGCAACCACCTCTTGATTTCTATTTCTAAATCCTAAATCTTAAACCTTAACCTTAATCCCTAAAACACTCTTAAATATTAAAATTTAAGTATAAAATGCATTTGATTGACACAAATATTCCAGATAGGAGCCAACATTTCCAGATTATTTGACTACACTGATTTAAGTGCAACAGTGGTTGAATTGGGAACTTTTTCGTTGTTAGGGTTGGTTTAACTACACAGATGGGATTGTAATTTCTGAGAAAAAACCCATAGATTGAGGTTTTTTTTTGTGGGTTTTTAATTCTATCATATTTTACCAACCCCCTCAAAGATTCCCATCCAACAGCTTTACATAAGAAAACATCAAATGAACCCAAGTGGGCCTGCAGGAATCAGATGTCCTCTCTATTAGAAAAGGATCAGAGAGTGTCAACCCAATCAAGGTTCAAAGTATCGGAAACATCAAATGTATCGGAAAGGTAATTTTAAGAGATGTATCAGGATACGTCTTAGATATACATGCATATCGGAGAAAAACCAAGATACATAAAAATACGCTTGGAAACACTATAAATACTTTAATAAATCATAAAAATACATCAATAATACTAAATATAAGACCTTAATGAGGTGTATATACATTAAACTAATATATTTTAATGGTTTTATAAAGAAATATATTGTGGTTAATTATAATTTCATTAAAAATCCTATGCTTAACTATAATTCTTAAGTTTTAATGTTTTATGGGATGGGAAAGACCCAACTTTCCTATCCATAAAACATGCATTGGCACAACTTTTAAGTAAAAATATAATTAATAATTATTTATTTTCAAAAATTATAAAAATAAATAAATATTATATAATATATTCAAAAAATAGTTATTAAAGAAGAAATTTCAATTGCTTTGTGGATATGATAGATCATCCATAGAATTATAATATATTCAATCATTGTGATCAAATGATAAAATATAATTAATTAATTCATCCATAGAATTTAATTCATCAATATGTTATTGATACACCCCCGATACGCCCTGATACACCCCAATATGATCCGATATGCATGAAAAAAGATGATACGTCTGATTTCTATGTATATCTCATATCTTTTTTTCAATACGATACACTCTAAACGTATAATATCAAAATTTTAAACCTTGAACCCAACCAAGGCTACAGTCTATGAACCCCGAAAATGGATACATTTATCAGGTAATAGGACGAAGAAGCCCAATTATATAATCAAGCACGTGGTGTAGACAAAATGGAATTGGTAGGAAATATATAGCTTGTGAAGAGTGATATTAATATTAGGTCGATGCTTGTGAGCTTCAGTCAAATTTGGTGGCCTTTTCTGTAATTTACTTATTATTATTTTATTACAACTTTGAATTTTATTTTGATTATTTTACGTTGGCGGCTTTTCTTCATTTATATTTATATTTGTACTGAGCCTTAGAAATTCTTGATTTATATTTATATTTGTACTTCTTCCAAATAGTTGTTGGTGTCTTGTGTGTCCGTGAGCATGGGAGAGAACGAACCAAAAATTTAACACAATTAGAAAACTTTTAAAGATCTGATTGATTTGGGGCTTGGATTATCTCATCATGGGGCCCGATGGAATTAGAACACAATGCAAGTTATGGACCCCAAGGCTGCGTTTGGATCAGAAAAGCTCAATGGTTTTGAATAACTAGCTTCATATACCGTTATTCTGCATTTCCTAAAACGTGGAATCCACAGCATTACTTTTTCGTTTTTTCCCAAATTTAGTTGCATCAAAAATAGCACCCAAAATACTCACAGACTTGATATTCATATTACTGAGGAAAAATGGAAACTGAGTTGAACTTTCATAATCTTGGATTTTGATTTTGGGAGCTCTATGGAATAGGCCCTGGTCCAGTCCAATTTCATTACTCAGCATTGAAATTTGGAAGCTTTGGATGTGATAAACTGATAATATATTTAATTCAAATATATGTCTTGATGCGATGAACTTCTGCGGCTGGGCTGCTGGGCTTTTGGCTTTTCTACAACCAAATGGCCACGACGCCATTGAAACCTTTTTGTCATCAATTCTCAGCATGATCAATAACTGTAAGATTTTGAGAACCACGACTACTATAAATCAACACCTAACTTTGTTACTCTCCTGAAATTAAGCCTCACCCATCTCTTGAACATTATTTCTTCCCTTACAGTTCTTATTAGGACCCCAAGCATCCCTCACCATGATGGAGATGGACCTTCAGTCCCTGGCCACTCTCTTCCTTGTCGGGCTCATCTCCACCATCCTGGTTCGAACAGTTCTCAGCAGGACTAGTCGGCCTCGCCTTCGCCTCCCTCCCAGCCCCATGGCCTTGCCCGTCTTCGGACATCTTCACCTCCTTGGCCCCTCCCCTCACCAGGCCTTCCACAAGCTGGCCGCCCGCTATGGACCCTTGTTCTACCTCCGCCTAGGCTCCGTCCCTCATGTTGTCGTCTCCTCCCCTGAAATCGCCAAAGATTTCCTCCGCACCCATGAGTTGGCCTTTTCCGCCCGCCCTCAGTCCGAAGCCGCACGACAGATTAGCTACAACTTTGCCGACTTCTCCTTCATCCCCTACGGCCCTTACTGGAAGTTCATGAAGAAGCTCATCATGTCCGAGCTCTTTGGCAGCCGAATGCTCGACAAGTTCCTCGCTATCCGGCATGACGAGACACAGAGCTTTATCAAGTTTTTGGTGAACAAGTCGGAAGCTAGACAAGAAGTTCATCTCAGCGGGGAGCTCATCAGACTGACCAACAACGTGATTTCCAGGATGGCCATAAGCAGGAGGTGCTCAGGGAACGACGATGAGGCCGAGGAGGTTAAGAATCTGATAATGGAGATAGCTGACCTCCTGGCGGCGTTTAATATAGGAGAGTTCGTTCCATTACTCAAGAGCTTTGGGTCCAAAGGTTTTGATGAAAGGGTGAAGGATGTCCACCGGAGGTTCGATGTGATCATGGAGAAGGTCATAACAGAGCACGAAGAGGCTCGACGGAAGAAGGAGGAGATCAAAGGCGACGGCGTGAAGGATATTCTTGATATGCTGCTTGATATAGCCGAGGACGAGAACTCTGAGATCAGGTTAACCAGAGAGAATATCAAGGCCTTTCTTCTGGTAATTTAATTCAGACGCTTCTTTCACCATGAAACTCAAATCTAATCATCATATATATATATATATATATATATATATATATATATTAATGGGTTTTCTTGGTACAGGACATCATTGCAGCAGGCACGGATACAACTGCTCTGACAATTGAGTGGGCGCTAGCAGAGCTGATCAACCATCCTCCACTGTTCAAGAAACTAAGAGAAGAACTGGATTCCGTCGTCGGCAAGAGAAAGTTGGTCGAAGAAAATGACATCCCTAATCTACCTTACCTCCAGGCAGTCGTAAAGGAGACTCTGAGGCTGCATGCTCCCGCCCCACTAATCGTCCGGCAATCAGTTCGCCACTGCAACATCAGAGGCTACGACATACCGGCGAATGCTAGGATGTTTGTGAATCTGTGGTCCATCTCAAGAGACCCCAACTACTGGGAGGATCCCTTCACATTCAACCCTGAGAGGTTCATGCCTTCAGGCAAGAACGGGTGGAATTCAATGGATGTAAGGGGCCAGTATTTCCATTTCATGCCGTTTGGAACCGGAACGAGGGCTTGTCCGGGGACGACCTTGGCCCTACATCTTCTGCACGTAACTATAGCTGCTATGATCCAGTGCTTTGACTGGAAGGTTCTCAATGTTGGAAAGGATGGGCTGGTGGACATGGCTGAGGGAACAGGCTTAGCAACTCCCATGGCCCACCATTTGGTCTGCCAGCCCATCATCCACTTCAATCCATTCTCAGTCACAGAGAGCTGAATTAGGAAATGGGATCATCAGTTCATCAATCATCATCACTGTCTTAGTATTTTTTTTTTTTTWTTTTTTTTTATTTTGTGATGTTGGTTCTCTCATCTCTGCTAGTATTTCAGTATTTGTATTGAAACAAACTGGGCCTGATTGGAGCTGGGGCCCATCTAAAAAATAAAACCCCAGCCCGGCCCACTTACACCCTATATCTGTAGGTTCATGCCTATCATCTTAAACTTAAACCTATAATTTCTTCTTTCAGAGTTTTAATTTAGAATAGTTCATAACATTATGTATCTTTGCCATGTGGCAAAGCAATTTTATCATACTTATCACATAAATCAAAGATTAATTGTTAACCTTTTTTCCTTTCGGCATATGCATGGGCTATCCACAATCTGGATTGGATTTTTTTTTTTTTTTTTTTTCGTTTTGTCAACGTAAGGAAGATTAGGGATTTTTATATTCTAGAAAATGGGGAAGGAAGAGGTGGAGATGAAAAAGATAGAAGGATGAGGGTGGGAGTTCAATTGAGTGATTAAGAGTTTAAGACATTGTTAGACAAATCTGATATCATTTTTGGAGGAAAAATCAATGATTTTGAAAACTTGATTGGCCATCAAACTGGAAACAGTGCTGCCCTATTCCCGGTTCAGTCTGGGCTTCAACCTGTCCAGATCCTAGTTTTTCCCACTTCTCAAGGACCTAGAAAGGAGCCAAGTTCCGGTCCGACCACTAGTCCTATACGGTTTTCAAAATATTGAGCCAGGATTTACACCACCTTGTGCAGATGAGCTGGACTGGGTTTTTTATTTGATTTAGTAGACTAAATTACATTTTATTTTCAATTAAGAACCGAATCCAAAGAAATGTAATGTCTTGAAAGCCTAATTAATTTGAGCCGCTTGCTCATGGGAATGAGAACTAATCAATATGTGATGTGAACCAAAGTGAATTTGAAGTTCCGTTAATTAAATTTATTTTTCCTAACTTTTTTTTTTTTTTTTTTTTTTAAGAAAGCCCGAAGACTAGATCAGATCATTGAATCTTTTTCCAGTACAGGCCGGATGAAATCAGCAGGTGATGACCAAGTTATAATTCTGTGAGTGTTACATCCAAATCTTGCAAGCTTGTGAGTCACCACGTTCTCTGTACGGGAAATGTAGGAGACGGAAGAGTGACCGTAACCCTTTAGAAGGTCCTTGCAATCGGCGATGATAGCTAGAAGTTGCCAATGGACATCAGAGTTTGTATCCGACAAGAAAGAAATAACCTTTTGCGCATCACCTTCCAAGAAGACATGAGAGAGCTTGAGTTCCTCTTTAGCTACGAGGAGACCAGCACGGAGAGCTTGGGCGCAATGAGCTTTCCTGCAAAGCCATAGAATCATAGCAAATTTATTGAAGAAACCGATATCCCCATTTGGAGAGTCCTGGCTATTTCTCCACTAGTAGACAAGCCAACAATCCAAGTCCCTCCCCTGGATGTCCTCACATCGAAGTGCAAAACAAGAACCGAACCAGACAGGTTGACCTACAGAACAGTTGAGAAATAGATGGGAAAAGTCTTCAACACCATTATTACAGAGCACACAAGTGGGATCAAATCGATCAGAAGCTTTAGAGAGCAATGACTTAATAGGGAGAATCTTCTGAATACATCTCCAAATGAAAACCAAAATCCTGGGGGTGGGGGRAGATCATTAAGGCTCCAGAAAGATTTCCAGGAGAGACCCGATAAAGCAAGGGTGTTACCAGAAGTGCTTGGTTGCGAAGCTTGAAATTCTTTGTATGCTAAGGCACAAGTAAATTTTCCGTGAGGAGTTAAGAGTCCAAACAAGGTGATCTTGTTTTGAGTAAGGGTTCATGGGGAGCTCTAACTTCATGATCCTATTAGCATTTTCAGGTCCAAACCTAGAATTAAGAGCTTGGGTATTCCACCTATTAGATGAGAAATCGATGAGCTCAGCTACTTTCACATTCCTATTAATAGAATGAGGAGGGGAATCAAGAACAAGCCCAGGAACCCATGGGTCGTCAAAAATGTTGGTGCTCCAACCATTTGAAATCACGGAACGGGCTCCCCTAAGTAAATTCATTTTGGAGTCAAGCATGCAGCACCAAGTGGCTGAAGTGTTGCCCCCTATTTTCAACTTGCCAAAATGACTCATTTCCATTCAGGTATTCGAGAGATAGAAGATTGGCCCAGGGCCTATTTTGATTGGTTAAGAATCTCTAGGAAAGTTCCATAATCAATATTCTATTCCACATTCCTGGTGGTAGAATCTTGAAAGCCTAAGCCCCCAAAATCTTTGCTTTTCATAAAGTTTCCCCATCTTTGGAGGTAAATGTGAGGATTGACATGAGAGTAACCCTACCAGAAATCCCTTGCCATGGAGTTGATTTTGGAGCTGATCGATTAGAGTAATACTTGGGTAGCCATGAAATAGGAAGGAATAGCCTCAATTGTAGATTTAATTGACACCTTTCCTGCATGGGATAAAAGATTTGGTTTTCCAAGAATTGAGTTTTATTTTTTTTTTCTTTACATTTATCAATAATGAAATTCTAAGATTTCGCCCGAGAACTTTGCTTGAGAAAGGGCATGCCAAGATATTTTTCATGGCCGGTCATAATCCAAACACCCAAAGATTTTGCAATCTCACCTCTGTGTCTTCGAAGAACATTTGAATTGAAAAACATAGAGGATTTGGCTAAATTGAGTTCTTGACCTGAGCAAGTACTAAACAGAGAGAGAATATGTTTAAGATTTGTGATTTCTCTTGAAGAACACTTGCCAATGAGTAAGATATCATCTGCAAACATCAGGTGGTTCAATTTGGGGCAGTTTCCTGGCAAGTTTGAAGCCAGAAAGTGTATCATTCTCCAAATTTCCTATAAGCATTCTAGAGAGAATATCCATGTAAAGAACAAAGAGGTATAGCGAAAGAGGACAGCCTTGACGCAAACCTCTTTGAGGCTTAAAAGGTTCACTAGGAAAGCCATTCAGGCCTTGTTTGATTTCTCTTTTAAAAAGTACTTTTCTTAAGACATGGGACCATACATTAAGTGGTTTTTAAGTACTTATAGGTTTTTACCAAGTGGGATTAGCACTTCTTAAAAAAATGACCAGGATGTAGCTTTTTTTCAGCACTTTCTGAAAAAGTGCTTCTTCATTTGAATGGGACGAACTTGTCCTTGTTTTTTTAATGACAGAAATACCCCCACATTGTGGATCCACCGGTGGCGTTCGATGGTGAGAAAAAACGGTTGGGGGTCCTATGTTTGGGTGACTTCAATGGTCACTTCCCACCATCTAGCTACCGATGACTAGAAGGTGAGTTCGCCTAAACTCCTCCCCTCCATGTTCGTTTTTTTTTAGGTTTTTTGGATAATTATTTCTCTGATTTTTTTTTGTATTCATATGAGAAATCCGAAATTCTTTTGGGCATTTTTTTGTTAGAAATCATGCAAAAAAATTGCTTAAGTTGGATGAATATTTGTGTGAAATTTTGCTGAAGTTGGATGAATATTTGTGTGAATATATTCTTCAATTGTGATTGAATTTTTTTCTTTATTTGATATGACTATTTGTGAATATTTGTGTGAATATATTCTTGAAGTGTGAATATTTGTGATTTTTTTTTGTGAATTTTTTCATGAATTTTTGTTGGTGATGTTTTTAATATTTTTTTGATAACCTAAATTTTCATTTTTTTTTGAATAATCTGAATTTAGTCATCCTATTTTATTTTTTTTTTAATTTGATAATGGTGGTGTTTTTTGTGAAAGTGCTTTTTGGAAGTAGTTTGTGAAAGATGCTCCATAAAAGCACTTTCTAGAAGTATTTTGTGAAAGTTGGTCATTAAAAGCACTTTCTAGAAGTAATTTGTGAAAATTGCTCCCTAAAAGCACTACCCGAGAGTATTTTGTGAAAATTGTGCCTTGAAAGTGCTTTCTGGACGGAATTTGTGAAAATTGGTCCTTAAAAGTGCTTTCTGAAAGTAATTTGTGAAAATTGCTCCCTAAAGCACTTTTTAGAAGTATTTTGTGAAAATGGGTTCTTAAAAGTAATTTGTGAAAATTGCTCCCTAAANGTATTTTGTGAAAATGGGTTCTTAAAAGTAATTTGTGAAAATTGCTCCCTAAAGCACTTTTTAGAAGTATTTTGTGAAAATGGGTTCTTAAAAGTGCTTTCTGAAAGTAATTTGTGAAAATTATTCCCTAAAAGAACTTTTTGGAAGTATTTTATGAAAATTGGTCCTTAAAAGTGCTTTTTGGAAGTAATTTTTGAAAATTGCACCATAAAAGCACTTTCTGAAAATATTTTGTAAAAATTGCGCCTTGAAAGTGCTTTATAGAAGTAGTTTGTAAAAACTACTCCTTAAAAGCACTTTCTAGAAGCACTTTATGAAAAATAATCCTTGAAAATGCTTTCTGGAAGTACTTTGGGGAAATTAATCATTAAAAATGCTTTGAAATTGATCCTCGAAAATGCTTCCTAAAGTACTTTGTTGTTGTTGTTATTATTATTATTATTATTGTCCATGTGGCACTCCATGTGTGGGCCTACATGGGCTCTCATGTGTCATGATATGGTGATGTGGCGATTTTTCATTGAAATGTAAATTATAATGATATGGAAAACATTGTTTATAAGTATGTGTGGAGTGAAGGCTAAAAGTGTCATTTAAGTAATACAAGCACTTATGGGAAAAGTAGGACACCAAATAGCCTTCAGGCCCTATTAAAAGAAGCACTTCTAAAAAGTACTTATGCAACAAATACTTTTTCTCCAAACCTCTCCACCAAACAAAGCCTTAGAATGATAGAGAAAGACCTAGAGGTAATGCAGGCATTGATCAACTTACAGAATTGAGGAGAGAAACCACGCAAATGTAGACTCTAGAGAAGCAAGTTCCATTCCACCCAATTCTAGGCCTTTGATAAATCAAGCTTCAATAGAAAACTGCCATTGGACCCACACTAAGCTAGCAAATTTTAGTATGTACATTTGTTGTTTTATGATATATTATATRTTTTACATTTGAAATATTATAATATAATATATATTATGTATGATATTATATATTAATAATGTATACAATAAATTTAGTTTAATATAAAATATTATATATTATATGTAAAAGATGTAAGCCCAAGGCTTATATTTCAAGCTTGGAAATTGGGTTGGGCCAAGCCTAGGCTATAGCAATTATCATAGGTACAAAACTTGACCCAAGCTTGGCCCAGACTAACCCATGATCACCCCTAAATTTAATCCATCCAATCCTGATTAAACAAAGGAATATAAATTTATAATTATTATATATTGGCATCAGGGGTTATTTTGTCACAAAATGTTTAGTAAGGTTGACCAGTCATTCAAGGATAGTCTAGTCATGTAAAATACTTAAATGCTTATGTGGACAATTTTCATTAATGATCACTAATGATAATCTAACCGAAATTTCAAGGGAAGGTGACTTTTGGATAATAAAACTCACCACCAAGGGCCCTTTAGAAAATTTGAAAAGTCATGCATGGTGAGTTTAAGAGATGTGAAAAAGTCATGGTGAGTTTAGATAATATCCCTATTTATTTTCTTTTATTTTCCTTTCTAGTGGACCACACCTTTTTCGTTTTCTTTTCTTCCTTTCTCTCCTCTCCTTTCTCTCTTAGTTTCTCTTCCTCTTCTCTTCTCTCCCCTTGCAGGCCTCACCTTCTTTCCTTCTTTCYTTTCCATTATTTTCTTCATTCCCCTCTTTCCCCCTTCCCTCTTCCTCCTCCGACCTCTCTTTTTCTCTTCCCCATATCTCCCTGCAGTCTCCCTCCTAGATTCTTTTTTTTCCTTCCTTTGTCTTCCTCTCCACCCATTTTTGGTTTCCCCTCTTCCTCTCTCCTCTCCCTTGCCCCCTCTTTCCATTTTAGGAGGAAGCCCTATTCTCTTGAAGCCCTTTAAATCCAAAAAGGTTCCCTTCCGCCTCTTCTTCTTCAGTAGATCTGTATACCAAGAGAAATCCATCTACACTCTTCTCCCTAATACCATTCTAGAATCAAAAGGGAAAACCCTCAAATAGCTTGTACGTACTCACCGGGAGAAGCATCTCCACAACCATCCATAGGACTTTACAATAATGGTGTAACCAGCCCACCATACGTTTACTCTCAAATAGTGGAAAACAGAAAAGAATCCAACATGTACAGGTAGGAGCTACCAAAACACACCCTTGTCCACTTCATTTGTATCAATTGATCTAAGCTATCAAAATGAAGTACTAAAATTAGTCGAGCCAAAGATCCAAGCCAATAAAGTAATCTACTAAGATTAATTGATTAATCTGAATCGTCTATGTAAACCWAGATTTCAACTAATTTAGGTTATCTAAAAAATATACCAAATCAAGGCAATCAAAGTGGTATTCTAAAGAGAGCACATTTCTACGACCAYTGTCATAGAATTCCCTTGTGACCTGAAACACAGCTATGGCAATGATAGAAATTAAGGGGGTGCTTTGTAGCGTAGATGAGAAATTGAATKGTGTGTTTTCATTCACACCACACCTTCATAGAGTTACTTTTATTAATAATAAAAATAGAATTAAAAAGTAAACTAGCATAAAAAGAAAACTGTTTTTGCATCTAATTGATGATCAATGGTCCATAGAGAAGTAAATTATGTGACTTAACTCAAGCTCAAATTGACCCTAATTTTAGACAAGCTAGCTTCGATTTTCAATACTCGACTTGGGCCTAATCATAGGCTCAAAAGTTTAGGCTTTTTTATTTTCGGGTTAGGCCCAAGCTTAGCCATTATGTAGCTAAAGTCAAGCCTAATTATATATATACAATCATAAATACATATATGGGGCTAATTGGCATAACCAAGTAACCATAGTGCACCAAATTTCAATGCAAGTTGGGCCTACTCAACTTGCAACATAAGGGTCCATTCGTTTGGATAAATGGGTTAACTAATGATGTCATAATTAAATAATAAAAATTTAAAAAATAGATACAAACACAATTTATAGAAAAATTTGACATATTGAAGATATTATAAACTTGTCATATCAAACAAAAATAAGTGTGATAAATGCAAATTACTTATAGAATTAATTATGTAAATAGAATAAAAAAAATTAAATTGCCCAAAAATGAGATTGTTTTTTTCAAATGGAATAAGCTAGCACATGATATCATAATTATATAATAAAAACTCAAAAATAGATAAAAATAAAAATATAAAAAACACAAAAATTATGTATAAAATTTGTGCACATCTCTAATATTATATATTTGTCATATTAAACAAAAACAATTATGATAAATAAGAACTATTTTTATTAACAATCTAAATGAATTATAAAATCTAAATCCAAGAGCACACCATGCTTCGATTATTTATCCTTTTGAAATGGTTCTAAGGATATTGAAATTATTGTTATCTAAAATTGCCACGTACAAACTTACATACATATTTACTAATGAATGTGAAAATTGTGAATACACTTTCATTTGTTTTGCATTACAAGCAGTATCCATTTTCTTTCTCTTCTGGTCATTGCAACAATATGTTTGATATGCTGAACTGTTTCCATTCCTGAGAGTAGGTTTAAAACATTGATACAATACGGTCAATAGATATACATTTTGGGCGGAGGGACATGATACACCACTGGTAAATAATTATACCCCAAATTGGCATCAAAGAGCATCCCAAGGTCAGTTATTCTCAGAAAGGAAATTCAGGAGTCTAAATAGAAAAAAGCGTGCAACCGATACGAGAATCATTCATGGTGCTTGAGCCACAGGTCAATACTGGTGTAAATTGATAAAGAATCCTATGCACTGGGAATTTAAAAACCTGTTAGAATAGCATGATGAACAAGGAATCGAAACACCATTTCAAAAAACTTATTTCAAAAAGAATTCAAGAATGTCTAGCCAAATAAATTTCTGGGTCCCACCCACCATATTTTACCGAACAAGGAATCGAACACCATTTCATAGGTTTGAGTCTATGCTGGCACTATGGTATACAAATAAGAAAAATCTAACTGGCAAGTGGCAACGTGTGCCACATTTGGACTAAAGATCCATTCTGGCATTTCAAGTACATTCTTGCAATAATTAAATCAGTTTAATTATGAAAGGAAKTAATATCAAWTCTTTACATTTACAGAAAGCACTCAAGCTCCTTAGATGATGAAAGACTATGTGCCCCGGCGGTATTCCAATTGTTTGGTATTCTCCAACAGTATCTGTCAGGAAGAAGAAAGCTAAATATCAATAACACCCACTGGGCTTGTGGAATGTAATCAATTTATATTTCATCAAGAATCGCAGTTTTATTAAACAATATTAAAAGAAAATGTAATTTAACTGCAATGAAATCTAAAGCTTATGGAATCAAATACATTCAAATAGCAAAGAGAATGTGCATAAATCTTGAACATAGTAAACCTAGCAAAAATCTCACCTCTCGAATGTAGTTTGCAACTGCTTTGCACCCTTCTATTGCAAGTTGCATGACATTTTCAAAGATGTCCATAGGTAGTTTAGAATCCATCTGTAATGGATTGTTCTAGAAGTTAAAATTCTATGCATAATTCAAGTGACAACTTTCTAACTTCCACATCATAAAAGTAATAGTCAAATTCAAAACAGAAAATATTGATTTAATCAAGGACAGAATGCATGATAAAAATTGGCAACTTCAAAATGTTGATGCATCCAAAGCATTCCAGATCTGATGTGTTCCGTAAGTAAAAATAAGACCACAGTGAATTAAATCTAATAAGTAAACCGGCATGCATGTCCCCACACTGTGTTTCCTCAGTCTGGGGTCCTTTTAACTAAAAATTTCAGAATAAAAAGTATAATCATCTCTTAAAAATAACTGAAAACTGAAATGACAAAGAGCACATACTATGACATTTTCAAAGAGTATTGTACACTAGTAAAATATCATGTTTGAAAATGGACAGAAGACCAATCAAAGAAATGAAATATCAGATTGGGACCTGAAGGAGTGTCACTTTATCTGACTTTGATAGAATTCCTACAGTGACATCAGGGCCCCCAGCACTATCTTCTACATAGTTCAGATCTGCCCATATCACAAAAAGTACATAAATAAATAAATGAGAGAAGTTTAAGAGCTCAAATATATGAACTCTTAAATACTTCTGAATAACAAATTTAAGGGAAAATACCTAGCAAAGGAGTACTGTTGAGATATCCAGCACTACAGGAAGTGATGAGGTCACACATAGGAATCCCAGCATCTGCAAGAGCCAGAGTTGCAGCATTGATACATGCAGATCTTGTTCCTACACACAAAGATGAGTACTGCTACAGTTTATCAACAAATACAGAAATTGAAATTAAGAAAAAGGAATTAATTGAATCATAGTTAATTAAAAGTTCAAAATGATAAAAGAAAATATTGTAAAAGATCATCAACCTCTTAGTCTCTTACAGTATTTTCTTATAATCCTCAGAAGAATAGAAAATAAACAAAAATGTTTGAAATCTAATATTTACTAAACCTTGATCGGTTTACTCTGTCCAAGTACTGTATATTAATCTCAGCATCCAAAAGGGATTGACATACCATCCATTAGGGTGGTTCCCCATGGCTGACTCAAGTGAAAAGATTTAGGTCACTCTGAACTTCCCCTTTTTTTATCATTTGAACTTTTCCTATTTGTGTGTGTGTGTGACACAGAGAGAGAGAGAGAGAGAGAGAGAGAGAGAGAGAGAGAGAGAGTCTTGTCATAAACCAGACCCAAGATGATTTAGGTATCACCCAAGTTTTTACTTTTCACTTTTTCCTATTACACTCCATTGTTATTGTTGCTCCCATAGTTGCCATTGTTGCAAATTTGCAGAGGAGAGTTTCTACTTACCTCCATCAGCTTGTAGAACTTGGACAAATATGTCTATCTGAGATGTATATACAAACAAGCATTAGAGAATAGAACAAATATATCTATCTTAGATGCATACAGAAGGGAGCTTTAGTAAATAGACACCCCAAATAAATGTGGAAAATGTCCCCATGCAGCAGTAAGAGAGGCAAATAGGCGAAAAGAGAAGTAAAAAAACCTGAGAACGAGGCATTAGGTGTGTCAATATGCATGCTTCCATAGTTTGGCGAATGACAAGGGATATCTCCATTGATCGCCTATACATGATAAAAGAAACATTCACGAAACAACAAGAAAAAAAGCCTTTTGTTTATGGAGTAAATCTATTTACAAGATAACAATCAATAGATCCATTTTGATCTGGTAAGCTATTGCAACATTGGCTTTCTAAGAATATGACAAGATAAATCTTGTAAGAAACATCATATGGTACAAATAGTGCAAAATAGTATACTAAATTTCAAAACTAGTGCCAAAGATTCCTGCTCCAAAAGAAAGTGGTTAGGCCTCCAACCAGAGAGAATATTTTACCATGATAGTTTCTAGAAAAAAACATCCAAGGGAACCTTAGAATCAAAATCAAAGGTGATTTTGGTGACTATAGAAAATTATGGCACAAAGATATTTTCAGGTTGCATATATACTCTTATTACTTTGTGAAGATCACTAACACATTACTTCTAGCCGAGGGCATAGATTTGAAAAGGAATCTAGAAAAAATAATGGCATCCCCTGATATTGATATGGCTAAAGCCTGTGATTGCTGGGTGGCCATTTTCACCAAACATTCTTTTTATGATTTGATTCTCCACAACCTTTTTCCTCAAAAATGTTGATAACTGCATCTCAAACAGTTAATTCTCTGTGACAGTTAATGAGGTCAGAGGTTCAACTCTTCCAGAGGTTTGATACAAGGACCCTACTTGACCAAGTCTTTCTAATCTAGCTGAAATCTGAAGAAACTGCTAGTGCAGAACAGTGCAGAACATTAGAAAACTTGTTGTGAAAGAAAGATGCAAATTGTCAAGGTGATGCCTAGGAAACAAGGCAGCCATGGAAAGTCACCTTGCTTTCATGACACCATGAATTAAGATAGGGTTCAGTAGTTTGGTCTCCAAGGTTTAGAAGGCCATTGCTGGATAGAGTGGAAGAATGCATTCAACCACTGTCGAAGTTACAAGAAGCAGAGATTAATGTGGACAGACCTGATGAAAGATGGTGGAAAGAGTGCAGGAATGGTAGATTCACAGTAAAATCATTCTACAAGGCACTGTCAAGAAATCAGGTGGAAGGATCCAAGATTAAAGGTGTCTGGGGAAACCCAGTTCCTCCAAACATGGAGGCCTTTGCTTGGCTGGTTTCTCTAGATAGCACCCTTACACAATCACATCAAGAGAAAAGGTTTACAACTAGCCAAAATATGTATTCTGTGTGAGTCAAAGGAAGAGGATGCTCTTCACCTATATTATGGTTGTAATTTCTCAACTCCAAGGTCACCAGGAGAAATTTTCACTTGCCAGCCTACATTACAAAGAAGTAAAAAGGATAAAACCTTCTGGAGCTGTATTCCTTTTTCTGTTTGCTGGGAATTATGGAAAGAAAGGAATAGAAGGATCTTCGAAGGAAAAGCCTGCCATAGGATGAAGATATGCTCAAGGATTGGCCCAAAGATAATGGGTTGGGCACTACTACCAGAATTCAGAGATATCCCAAGAGACTCTTGAAGCAAAGTTTTGGGAAACACTTGTATAAGATGGCAATTTTAGGTAACTCCTTGTAATGTTGTAAAAGCTGGAATTAGTTGTTCTCCTTTTCTTCTTTCAGTGATTTCTCATCACCTATTTTTGTAACTCTTTTTTATTTTGAAAAGGTAATGTAAAATTGTATTAATATATTCAAAAAGAAGTATACGTGTATGCTAGTTCACTGTACAAAACGATTATGTACATATGAACACCATTAAGAACCCCCAAAAGTTCAACAGCCAAAAAAGAAGACAAAATCATCCTTGAAATGCAGATTAATACTCAGCCATGCTCTTGGGTTTCCAATGATTAGATTAATCAACCTCTTCTTGATTCTGATTTTGCTCAAAGATCCTCCTGTTCCTTTCACCCCAGATAGCCCAAAGTACAGCCAATGGAATAGATGACCATAATATCTGCCCTTTTTCTATCACACCTCCAAATTTCCAGCTTTCAAAAAGGGATTTGACTAAAGCAGGCAAGCAATTTTGGAATATCTATGGCTTTGAGAAAATGTAACCAATTAACCAAATTCTAGCGAAGAGCTTGCAAAGAATAAACAAACGATTGGAAGTCTCCATCTCTTGGTTGCATAGCACACATAGGGCATCAGGCAAACTCAGCCCCTTTCTGATCAACATATCCTTTCTGAAGCATCTCTCTTCAGCAGTGAACCAGGAAAAGAACTACATTTCGAAGGAGCAATCCAGCCCCAGATGGCTTTACTAGGAAAACAGCTGGTGGACTCCAACCTCAGGCCATTATATAACAATTTAACTGAGAAAGAACCCGATTTAGACCATAACCAAACCCGTTGATGTGGAAATTGTGGATTTAATGTCAAGTTTTGCAGTAGGGAAAGCAGTTCAAACAATTGAGACAGCTCCTAATCATAAAAGTTTCTTCTAAAAGAATGGATCCAAAGAACTGAATCACCTYGACTAACATAGAAGGCAGCCACTGAACTCCCTTTATTAGAAGCCAGTGAATACGGATCTGGGTAAACTTCCATTAAAAGGAAACTCTGCGCACCAATTGTCTTTCCAGAACTCCAGCCTATCACCCACCCCTGCCTTGTGCTTGATCCCTTTCATAAAATGAGGTTAAGTTTTGTAAATTCCTTCCAAACACCAGACCCATAAGGACGCTTAGAATTAGTTGCATCCCAACCATTATTAACCCATATTTCTGAGCAATAGTATTCCTCCACAGATGATCAGGTTCATCAAAGAATCTCCAAAACCACCTGCCCAGAAGTGCCATGTTAAAAACCTTTAGCTTTCTGATGCCCAAACCACCCACTTTGAAGGGTTTGTAAATCTGCTCCCAATTTTACCAGGTGATATTTCTGAGAATGCTTCAGCCAATCTACCAGAAATCTCCCATTGCTTTTTCAATTTTCATAGCTATTTCCAACAGTATAGGGAAGAGGAACATGAATTAAACTAGAATACTAGCCAAAACACATTTTATCAAAGTCAGCTCCCCCCCCCCC